AATACACCCCTTGAACTTGTAGAGGAAGTTGCAATAATAGATAGTTGTTGAATAGGAGGTCCAGGGTACCCAAGACAACAAGTGTGTGACTGGTAAAAATTTCAGTTATCCAAAGTACATTGCACTTCCTCTATACACGTGATGAGTATCAGTTGAACAAATCTTAGTCTCCCACCACTCTGTCTCTGTCAAATACATACCTAGTCCTAGACTTGAAAATATTCACTGCAATCCTTGTGGCTTGAAATTGAAATGTAGAAATTTGTAAACCCACCAGTGATGGGTACCGGTACTGGTAACTGCATTATTAGGCTATATGATGAGTGCATGCATGTGTGCTAAAGAAAGCTCCCCAGTGTTCTTTGCAACTATTATGAACAAGCAAATATGAACTATAAAATTACTTTATGAAGAACCCCCAAAAAAATATCCTCAAAAAAAGAAACAAGGAAAACAAGTTACATGACATTCAAGGTATACATTTTTTACCCTTGATGAAGAACAGGTCGTAACAAATATTCAGTACAAAATATCAGCTGACATTGTCTTAAAAATGCAAGACCTATGAATGTTATCTTTCAGTGATTTATGCAGGACCTACATCCGCTGCCTTGAGTAAAAAAACTGCTGCAAAACATTTATTCTCAATACAGCTGGTAAGAAAAAAAAATACAAGCTGTCATTATATTATTCTAAAAATGGAGGTAAAAGGAAGCAGCATAAAATGCAGATTATTTATAAAAATACAGCAGAGTCCTCTTAAACTGAAACCAAAGGAACGACAGAATTTTCTTGACTTACTTGGGTCTTCGGTTTAAGGAGGTTGTTCAAATTTTAAAACAAAGTTCGGGGATTTTTTTCCCTTTGCTTTACCCCAGACTTCGGATTAACCATGTTCGGTTTAAGAGGACTCTGCTGAATAATGCAAACAAACTTTCATTATCATGTGTTTTCCATGTAGTGCTGTCTCACTAGTCTCAGAGATGATCACTTCAGTTTAAATCACTAGCTCTCCTCTGGATGCTGCCCTTCAACATGCATAGCCATGCTACCTCAGAATTACAAAGTTCTATCTGCTCAGTACCTAGTTTTGAGAAATTTGATGTCAAAGATTTTGAATGTCACATCATGTCAAGCTTTTTCCAATGCCATTCTTTGAATATCTTGATAACGACTCAGAATAATCTTACGATTTTGATCGCGGATTGTACAAGCGTTGTATAAGGTAGGAAAAAACCTCTTGGCACTTCCTTTTTACCTGAAAACACTCACACAATGACAATATATATTCCCTTTTTTGGGGGTCCCAGTTTATCATTACGAGAAGGTAAGTTGTTAATGTTGTTTGGTGGTGTTGTTTTTAGCATCATGTTACTATCTCCAACTTTTCTCCATTTATCTCTCAATGAAATCCCTCCAAAATTATATCAAAAGAAATGTGGTTCAATATACAGTAGTCTCCGCCTAACACACGCCATACAAAAGCATGCTCTGCTCAAACGCACACTTTCGTCCTCTGACGTTTTTTTTTTACTATATAGCTTAGACGTACAAACACACGGTCACTCCCCCTAAACGCACGCTTCAATCTACAAAACACGCTGACAGGTAAAGCTTGACTTTAAGGGAAATTTCACTACGACCACTGTACGATATTTGCATAGCTTGCTTAAGACAAGCCTAGAAAACCGGATATTTTGCGAGACTGCCCCTTACGCCGAACAAAGAGAGGGATGGACAGCATTTTCACACTCAACTTTCCAGACACATAATGTCACATAGGTCTAGGACTGGTTGGTGATATGTTGGGGGGTTCGGGGACTGAAACGTTATTTGATTGGTCACTGGAAATGCATCTCTTTGAGAAAAGGTTTCTGACTGGTGTTTGAGTGACTGCGTGTTGGCTAATGGTTAGACCTAAGCCTATGATGTGCAACACGCGTGAATGCTCGTTCATGAATTTACGGTCGGGGGTGGTCGCTTGGAAAGCCACGTGGCTGGACCGTCGTCTCTATGACTATCACCAACAATTTCTTTTTAGGCTATCGGTTCTCGGCATTTTATGGTGCATTCATTACATCGAGTCTGTCTTTCTGCCCCTCCCCCCAAAAAAAACAAAAAAACATACCAATTCTACGCCTTTGCAGTCTTAACCGCAGTCGGGGAATCTTTTACAAAACAGTCACGTGTCGTCACATTATCAGCCCAAAATGACCCCCTCCACAAAGGGAGGTCACTAGAATCTGAATATCAAGGCAATGAGATGACTGCGTCCCTTCCTCCCTTTGCAAAGGTTCATGTAAACGCACGCTCCGTATAAACACACGCTAAGGAGCCCTCCCGAGCACCGTGCGTTTAGGCGGAGACTACTGTAGGATGTCCATGCAGAAATTCATGAGGAAATATTCATAAATAAAAAAGAGAGGGGAGGAAGAGTGGGGTCACCCCTGAACAGGCTTGGTTCATCGAATTTCCCCCAGGCGCAGGGTCCTATTTACCTGCTGCATTGAAGGGGTTAATCGCATGGTCTTAGTAACTCAAAACGGCCAAAAATGTCAGATATAACTTTGTAATTCTGAGGTAGTAAATGGTTCAGATACTCGTACCAGTTCAATGTCAATAAAATTGTGCGTAAAAATACAATTGAAAAGAGTAATTGAATGTAAGACTTCCCTAAAAAAGTCCCAATCCAGACCAGGCTTTATCAGTTACATCACTCCGCTGAATTCTTGAAAAGGTCATGCAGTTGTTCAGTACATGTACCCAGTACATGTGTACTTCCGTCTACTGAATAGTAATGCTAGGCATAAAAAGATGAGTGGACATGAAAAGGTAAAAACTATCAAGTTTACTTACGATGAAAATCACAAGTACTCTTTAACTTTATTAAAATTAAATAACAACCCCCCACCCCAATTTTTTTCATTTAATTATTTGACAACACACACACAATGAATGCCACCCCTATTTCAAGTTCCAAACCTTCTTCAACCGTTTGTGTCAAAATGTTCACAGCAGCTCCGCACAAAGACCCATTTGGCACCCATAACTTTTTGAGACCATGCTGGTGTATGGCCTGTTTAAACATACTATAAGCTGGTTGGTTGTGTTGTGAGTATATATTTTTAAATATTAAGTGTAGGCTACAATATCAACTTCATGGCATGTACTAATGATTAACATTTTCTGACTGTGTGCAACAGAAAAATCTAATTGGCACACATAACAAGCCATGCTGATTTATGACTAGTTTAACATAACATCCATGTGGTTGTGCGAATTATTTTTAAAAAAAAGTTTACTCCGTACCACAACATCAAGTACATTGACACTTTCTGCTTTTAGGCTCAAGAACAATGCTTGAGACATCTTACATAATGTGTGCAGTTCAAGTATAAACTAGTATGCACTTTTCTTTTCCTGCTCTTTTAAATAAATGAGCCCCCTCACTTTCACAGAGCTCTGTTGAACTAAAACAACAGATGGCACTTTCTCGATATTTCACATGTTATTCACTATATTATAACAATTTTTAAAAAAGGTATACATACATGCTATTCAGTATCAAGCGAGTGTTTCTACTTACTTGTTCCTTTTGGCATCGCTTCATCGTTTCATGCCCATCTAGCAATGAGCTCTTCTACATAACTTCAAATATAAACTATTGTATTAATATTATCTGAAGGCACTTTATCACTCTCCCCTTCCTCTATTAAATCAATGGTGTAGCATACAAAAGACATATTACTACTATAATTACTCAAGACAGGCTGAAAAGTTCCTTAAAGACATTCATCGTACTTTGGAAAAGGAAAGTCTTGCACTTTTGTCAGACTGTTCATCCTCATTTCGACATGATGGATATAGACAATTGACATGCTTGGTGGTAGCACATACTGGTGTATTATTACTCTCAAAGTGAAATCTATAAAAAGGAACTAAGCAAGGTGTGGTTGTAACTGATCCCTTGAAAATGTTTTCAGATGCTGTGGAAAATGTTACTAAAAGACATACACATACAACAAAACATATTTTACAAGATATGCAAATCATTACAAATTATAAGACTTAACAATAACGCCTTTGCCATTTCGTGGATATGGGCTGGGATATACACTACATAATGAGAGAAGAAGATAAATGTCAGTGTGATGAAGAATTCAGTGTGAAATCCAGAACATGCGTAGTTTTTAAACTTACCATCTTCAGCCCATGGTCAAAGCCCATTTCAGTTTACTGCGCTAAAGACACATTACATTCGTATATATAGCAAGACAATAAAGTACATAAATCATGTACAAACAGTATATTAAAATGTGCTTAGGCTATATATATGTATAGCACAGTTCAAGTATATTAGGTAATAACAAATCAAGAGTCGGTGAGACAGAAAAGGCTTGTATTACTTGTAATTGTAACAAAATAAATACTGAGCATTTTTGGACACGTGGCTCAAATAGCCTACTTTTAAGAATAAAGCAGGCAGCACAAAATACTCTGCACTTATTTTCTTTTGTAATTATACAAGACCATTTGCATAGGTATCTAACTAAACAATGCTCTGTTCTTAATTTGTTCTTCTGGTGCTAGTGTGCGTGGTAGTCATATTATATTATACAATATGGTATAAAATAGTGCATTCAGCTTGTGAGGTGGTCAATTAAAACAATGCTGTGCCATACATATCATGTATATGTGTGGGTAATACATTATGCAAGGACGGTTGCAATATTATTATACAGTGCTTTGCTGTTAATGTGTAACATTGTAGCAGTTGCTTTATCACATTTACAGAGCCCTGCTCTTAATTTGTTGTAGTGAGCTAAAGTGACGTCATATTTTACGAAGCTCCACCATCAATTTGTAACATTATGCTAGTGACATACACCTGCAACATACACTCAGTATGCTAGTGAGGTTATCTTATCAAAATCAATGCTCTGCCATAGTTTGTAACATTATGCTGGTGTAGTAGTAGTTGCCATACTACAGATATTTTCTATTAATGATAATGAAGTAACAATGTGCTAGTGGGTGTAATATTTCTAAACAATTATGCGTAATATTGTAAAAAGTGCAACACCAATATTTCTTCAGTCACAGTCGAAAGTTAAAAAAACCCATTTGCTGTGTAGTCATGTCTGATATTGCAGCGACTCTCATGGCTTAATCGTTAATTTGGAAGAAAACACTAGCAACAACAGTGGGTCCACCCCTTACACTCCTTTGAAGATGCTTATGCCAAGAACATGTCATATAATACATGTATCTGCTCAGTGTAAGACTTTGTCATATGTCACTTTTCACAATGATGTATGGCAGAGTCTTACACTTAACAGTCAATACATCCCTATAAAATCAGATGCAGATATGAAGATACAGCACTGGGCAGGAAAGTTACGTACAGCACACGTGTACAGTGGACTATAAAACAGTAAGTTGACAAATGTGAGGTATCCATAGTGCCAGGCACAAATAGGCCACAAACAAAATTTTCCAAATCCTGTTTCTTTTCTTGTCAAGTTGTAAAGCAGGGTCAAATAATACATATCATGTACATGATCTCAATAAATGTAAATATTCAGCGAAAAGAAATGTATGAAACATTGGCATAAAATTTAAAGTTGAAGTGGTTGTTGATAGTCTGATTAAACTGTTTTGAGCCTCTCCTACAAAATATAGGCTTCCTGGGAGATGGCCCATCTGTGCCGCCTCAATGCGCTGAGAAACGAAATCAACAAGTTGGAAATAAATGTCCATGGTGCACGGTCGACCGTCTTCTCACATCTTGGTACTCTCCGACAGTGTGTTGATCACCGGCGCCCTCGGCAGCTCGGCCAAACTTTCGTCACCGCCGGTATCTGAGTTATCCGAATCACTGGTCAAGACAGAAACAAAAAAAGTTATCAGACAAGAGCAACGATCTCACTGACACAGTAAAGTTCTCTTTTGTAGAAACTTCCAAGGACCACACTTTTGAGTGTACACTCGGGCACGGATAACTTAAACATGTTGAGGATTGACAAACTTATTTGACACCTCCATAATTGGGGTAAACCGATATACCGATAAGTCAAAGAGATATCAGTCGAGGAATGGCAAATTGAAGGAGCTTTCCATAATTTTGAGTCTTCCTTATTAGTGTTATCTGTGCCTGACTTAATCTTAACCACGAGTTCAGATAGCCATTTCAGAGAAAAAAGAGAGTAGATTTGAGGATGAGTACATTGTCTACTTTATCGAAAGAGGACTCTTATGTTCAGCAATTTCTCAGTCTGAAATATGAAAAGGGACATCATCAAATCAACAGTTGGTTAATTTTTTTTTTACACTCCCCACAAGTTTCACATTTTACTGTCCAATACCTCAGATGAAAAGAAAGTACATAAATTCCCCTCTGTCTTTGAGATTAAAAAACTAAAAACTATAATAAAAAAGAAACCACTCACTAACAATTTCCTTTTGCATTTGAAACCATCTCTGTGAAACCAATCGTAAATAGGTAGGGAAGTTATGACAGCAGCTGACAGAGGAGGGATATGTAGCGGAATGAAAGCAAAAGTAACATGTACAAAGTGGAGCATCAGGAAGAGACTATGTGGGGTATGCTTGGGGAAAATTTCACACACGGAATTATTATTATTATTTATGTGTAATTATGTCTATTAGATATTCATTCAGCAAGATTTCATCATATAATTCCACACTGAATCTATCAAACAGTTCTCAAATTCGATGAATGCCAACATCCCAGTCTGAGCGATGTGTTCTATTCTGTTTTTCCTGAACACACCAACAAAAACCATTAGTTGAAATGGGACCACTCAAATTTTCACTCACCTCAGTCCAATTTAGCTCAGCAATAAAAAGATGGGAAATGGAAAAAGATGAGACAGAATACTAATATATACGTAAGTAAAACCATATATGTACATCGAAAATGCAAGAACAAGGGCTTTTACCACTGCTATATGAGGAATATTTATCTCTCACAACTCACTGTTTTCAAAACATGAACCTTAGTGTAAAGTATACAGCTGAAAATAGCACACCCGAATAATTTGAAATTGTATGGTTACACATCTGTAAGAAACTTTCTCTTATTTTTGAAAATTATATCTCCTTTCATAGGCACAAAATGGCACTACTGCTACATAAGTACATTGCATAGACATTCCTTAATTGTCACATTTGTTATGATTTAGTTCCTTCTCAAATTTAAAAAAGCATGGTTATTAAATTTGTATTTTTGCAAATGTGACAGTTTGGTTTATGTAACTATATGTGTTAGTGTTGTTTTTTCTTTCACTTTCAGCATACAAAATACACGTCTGTACATTTGTCTGAAAATTACTCTTGCTGAGAGCTGCCAAATGGCTTTTTTTGTGCTATCAAACCTTTTATGGAGACAATAGGGGTTTTAAAACGTTGCCAATAAGAGGTCTTTTAAGGAACATGCCAGTTTTATGATACCTTTTCCTCGTTGAGTTGAAGCTTTCTTTATATTACTTTCAACCTTATCAAAATGTACATTTGAGCAAATAAATGCAGCATAGTTTTCATTACATAGAGTGAAGGTCCATACCATGTAATTTTCTTTCTCAGGAAATCACAGGCCATTTTAACAGCTAGGTGTGCTGTTACTGTTACATTCACAGACTTTATCAAAAGAATGCAGTGTTGCACCGAATAGAAGACAACATCAACTTCATCATAATCTATGCAGATTAACAAAGGCACCTCTCACCTTAAGACATTTTCATTACCTGAAGGAAACGACAAATCTTTTAAAACTGAGAATGTCTTCTTAGTTGATAAAACTCAGCAAGAATTTACAAGTGCTGGAAGACAATTTCGTCTGATCCACATCTTTATTTTGTTGATGAGAGAGGATCACAATACATGCAGCCATGTGTTGCAGTTTACAAACTGTCAGTATGAAAATGGCCACAGAGCGTTGAGAACAGATTGACTGCTTAGTGTAAGACTCCTAAGACTCCGCCATCTGCCATTTTGAAACGAGATGTACGACAGTCTGACACTGAGTAGCCGAGATGTCCGATTCTAGCTGTATGTATGTGTATGAACATTGTCTTTCACAAAAGTGGGGAGGGGGGGCTGAATTAACCTCCATAATTTTTCTCATTATCTACCAGAATCTTCCAAAATTTTGGGAGAGTGTTCGATTTATATGGTATAGAATAACTAATTGTCATTCTTATGGTTGTGAATAACATAATTTGAGCCCAAAAATGACCTCATTAGGTGGAAACAAGGTAAGAGTGGAACACTGCTGATATGTAATTATTTAAATACGGCCAAGGGAAAGAAGGAAAAGGAGCAGACTAGTCCAAAGTACCCATCAAACACTGGCAACGACTTGAGCGACGGACTGCCACATTTGTAAAATCCAGCCACAGGTGACCACATCCAGTACCAGTACCAGACATGACAAAATCAAAATGAGTCATGTGCTATGTTATCAAAGAAGAGAGACTACAATCTACTAACCACAGCCTCAGTCATGTACAATGACTTTCAAATTCGGTTCAAAAGAAGTCAGTCAGCTCAAACAGCACTAAAAGGCTTACATTTTAGTAAATCAAAATAGGATTTGAAGTGCATTCCGTAAATGACTTGAAGTCGACAAAAGACAGCATCATCCATGATTTCATCCAAAAGAAATCTACAAAGTCTGCGGAGAACCTTTCCAAAGCACAAATACAGCACAGACGAAAAGGAGAAGAAAAAAAAAAAAAGGCACATATGTGAATATTTTGGTAACTTTATTCCACACTATTCTCTTATTTATTAGGTATGTACAAAAGAAATGAGACAGTAACTACCACACAATAGTTCAACTATTATGCTATCCACGTGCCCCTGGAGTGCATTCATTTCAGTAAAGGAATTAAATAATCATTTGTAGAAGTTTCAGAAAACAGCATCAACAGCATGCAATCTCAAAAAAATTAATTTAAAAAAAAAGAAGCAAAACTGGCAAATCCTAAATCAAGCAAACAATATTAGGCATTGATGACTCTGGTCTATAGTCACACTCACAAGTGTATCATAGATTGAAAACATCTGGTGATATCAAGCTTATCTGACACTCGCACAAAATTGTCAACACTTTCTGAACTATTAGCTATGACGATCTTTATTCACAAAAGGCATTTTTCTACTTTATCAATTTTAGAAGCTTGTACGCTATAAAAATTTCAGTTGTCAATAAAAGAACACCATTTAAAAAATAAACCCAACATATTCCGGTTATCAGTTCTGAAGATATGAATGGATCTATTTCAAGAAAAAAAAAAGTAAGTGGTTTATTTACCCTGACATTTGTTAATAGCCCCGAATATTTATTCTTTGACAGGGTTTCTTATCTAATGAACGCATTACTTCCTTACAGAGAATCCTGCTATGCCACTACAGGTCATTCAGACGATTTAAAGAGTTCCTCTGTTTTGTCATTGGTCAACAGAGTAATTACGCCCCCCCCCCCCCCCCCACACACACACACACACTTTTCATATACGGCTATGTTCTGGTACAAATTCAGTTGTCTCCTCAAATATTTTGGGAGCCGGTATAGAAACAATTGAAATAATGTGCAGAGTTTTAAGAACATCTGCTACTTTATATGTGAAGTCTTTCAATCCCGTTATAGATTTATACACTTTGGCATTAAAAAACCATCCATGCCATCTGTTACTTTCATTTTAAAAAAAAAAGCATCTGTAGACTTCAGAGTGTTTTTTATAAAATAACAAGTCTGCATCTATGAATATTGCCATGACAACTCAGCAATGACAAGCAATCTGCACTTGTCTCAAAATTTTGAACTCCCCCCTTCAACATTTGACCATATACCCAGAAATGCAGAAATGACTCGAAATCATATAGGAAATTTGAAATGATTAATTGTTTATTCTATTACAGTACGGTATCTCTCAACAGCGGTGCACATTAGCAAAATTTCAAACAATAAAGATATGATATTATTATGTTTGGCACTACATACTGCACTGCAGATACCTTGTGAGGAACCCAATTCCAATTATCTTTTTCGTATCTGTGCATTAACACACGCAGAAAAATTGTTAATCATTTGTCAAGCATAGTTTCGTCATAATTCATAAAGTTAGATATGTAAGTTGTGATACTCCTTCAATACTTTCAGAACATTTTCCAGTTCTTGAACTTAACCGTTACCCCTTACAAACGTTAAATTAGAGCAAAAGTACTAATTAAAAGTCAGCAAACATTGGACGACTAACTGTCTCTCTATCTCTCTCTAGGTTAGGTATGAAAAACAACTGCATGTAGGCCTACACAGTAATTCAAGTTCAAAATATCAACAGCATACACTCCAGTCCAGTCAATTCTAATCAGATAAATTATACTTTATTGATCCTCCATTAGAGGAACAGAAAACTTTGTAACCTAAACTTGTGCAGCTTCAGAGACTATACAAAGTCTGGAAAGCCTCCTTTGATTATGTCAGTCATGAACATTGCAAGATGTGGAATGTTAGTTCTCGGACAGAGAAAAGTCTGGTGCAAAGAGATTAGTGAAACCCTCTAGAATTTTCAGACCACCACCAAAATTAAACTTAAACCTGATGTGACTTTCAAAACACCCTGGAAAGTTGTACTGCTACTAGTATTTGTTTTGAAATCATGATATTGACAATAGTCCATGGAACTGGGAAGATGGACATTTGTATTATGAAACAAGAGACAGCGCTAAAAGAGGAGGTAGGACTAGTCTCAGCATAAAAGACCATAGTCATACTATTACTATTTTAAATCATTCCACGGATGAAAACTGATATGTATATATATATATGTGCTACGCATGCATTTTTCCTTG